TATGGTCATGTCAAGGTTTAAAATGGTGTGTGCTCATCTAAATGTTCAAGTAACCTAGAATAAAGAAGTCATCTAAATATCCAACAACAGCTAGTGTTCTAACAAACGAGCGGAAGCAGTTTGTTAACTAGTATAGTATTGACCATTCAATGTTTGGAGTTTTGATGCACTGCTGTCGCAAAGTAGAACATTTAGGTGTACCCTAGAAATTGTACAAGTACCGGTGTACTAAACTATGAAAACCCTTCTAAGAAGAGCATATAATCTCGAAGCACTCATTACTTTCGGGACAACCTGCTAAGAACTATTTACATATTGATGCAATTGCATTCTATTAAGCTCGCTCTTCTCATGGACGACATCTCTAAGTGGTTTCGGGACACAGCTTCCAAACTCCTCACCAGTGCTCGAGTTGACGGTTCTGGAAAACTTTCAAATACAGTGTGGGGTAAAGTTCTTTCTACTTAGACAAAACAAGTATTTTGTAACTGCAGCAATCATGGGTATATAGAAGTTGATTTGAGACGTTTTCATTTGCATCCAGAGGATCTTCGATACGAAAAGGCTGAGGTAGGCCACTTCTTTCTAGTCCAAATTGATTTTTTCTATTCTTAGCATGGGACTTCATTTAGGCTGCATATAAAGGACTGCTTTCGAGCTATCAGGAGAGACAAGATAGTCGCCCTCCTGATAATAAAATCAGCTCAACGACTATTATATGTTTGGAAAAATGGTTTTATTTTATTGAATACTTTAAAGATGAAACCAAAAGAAGCATGTACAAGTGAGTCATTGCCAAATTGAGAGATTTCCTTAGTTTTGGTAGTGTTCGTTAACTTGCTGTGGAAGATGTACCAATTTTGATGTAATATGTACTTTAAAGGCTGTACTGCTTTGTCGTAGGATCATCGTTCTAGATTGAATGTATGCAGCGAGAAGGTGTACCAATATCACGAACGTGGACCCTTTGTTCAAGGCGAAGGCCGCCGAGGTGGTCAAGCTGGTCCCAAAAACATCAATTACAGCCAGATAAGTGGTGATGAAACAGATGTGTGGCTTTCTTCCACACAAGAAGCCTCCAGTCATGCTCTCATTCGTGCTGGTTATCGCACTTCTTTAAGTCTATGGTGCATGTCACCAGAATTGGTAAGTTCAACAAAGAAGTGATCTTCGGGTGCCTCAGTCATTCGTCATCATTTCAGGCTTTCATCAGTGCTTTTGCTGAATGTCGTTCTGTGATTTTGGCATCTGGCACGCTCTGTCCAGTGGAAACGTTAAAAACGGAGTTGGGGCTAAAGTTCCATTCACAGGTTCTTAAAATTCCAACCATATTCTCTACATTATCATGTTCAAAATTGCTTCAGATGGAAGGAGAACAAGTAATTCCATCCGAGCAGATATTTGCTGCTGTTTTGCCA